CTCAGCCTTCCAAGTAGCCGGAACTACAGGTGCACGCTACCATGCCCAGCTAATTTTTGACTTATTGTAGAGATGAAGTCTCACCAAATTGCCCGGACTGGTCTGGAACCCGCGGATTCTCAAAGGGCTGGGACTCCAGGCTGAGCCACCGAGCCTGGCCATTGTCTTTTGATATACAGAAAGTTTTCATTTTAGAAAGTCAATTCTGTGTGCCCTTTGGATAGAATTAAATTGAGAAGTACTTTTAGATTTAGATCTAGTGTGTGAGTAGTTACTAAGACAATTCAGGAAACAAGATCAAAGGAAAATAAAAGTTTCACACATTATGTAACCTCCTAATATTTACTGTAAGTCATCTTCTAAAGTAAATCCCAGAGACGTCTGCATTTGGATGCACAACGTGGTTCTTACTGTTCCAACCTGGATTTTGTTTCTTTGTAAAAACGCTTATTACTTAGACATGTTACCAGTTCAGAATTGTCCTTCCTCTCTATTTGAATTCAATGAGATTTTGTCATAGTTATTTTAGAAGTGAATTTTTATTATTGATAATAAAATGTCTAATTTGTTCTCCTCAAATTTGTATTTTAGGCTTTTTTCAAAGACCCAAATGTCATTCCCAATCTGAAGTTACTTTCAGAATCTTCTGGAGAGTGGATTACATTAGGTAAATAAAACTTATTTTCATCTTTTCAGGTGACTGTTTTACTATTATAACAAAATTTCACTTAAGGAATTTTTGTTATTAAAATACAAATTGTGGATAATGACTCATCTGCTTGATCCATCCAGACCAAGTGTGAGAGCTGTGCAGGCTACCCTGTGTCTCTCCGGGAATCTCCTGCTGCTGGCCAGGCTTAGCCAAAAGAAGTGGTTTCTTTCTGTTCATTTGCAAAGTATTTATTGTGCATCTTCCATGCACTCCACTAAGTGCAGGGAATGTTAAGGCGAATAAGAGAGAACCTGCACTCAAGGAACTTGTTGATATGTTAAAGTGTGTGTGTGTGTGTGTGTGTGTGTGTGTGTGAGAGAGAGAGAGAGAGAGAGAGAGAGAGAGAGAGAGAGAGAGAGAGAGAGACTCTACCAAAGGTGCTACCTTAGAAGTAGAGGGGAGGGGAGGGGAGTGGCCAGTTCTGCCCAGAGGGGAAAAAAAGATCAGGACAGCTTCTGCTGACACAGGGTCTTCAGGCAAAATCACCAGTGGAATGGGGGCACGGATTTCTGACAGAGGAATTGGCCAACCAAGGGACATTTTTTACGATAGCGTCTTATTAAGTCACGAAGGAGAGAGTCTTAAATTCTCAAGAAGCAAACTTTATATAGATGATGTTTTCATAGTACATTGAAAACAGCTAGAATTTTTTAAAGAAAATTACCCAAACAGTTAAACACTTTAAGAGTATTTAAGTGTATTTAAGAGCATTCTCTTAAATTTCTTAAATGACTCCTAGGTCAAGGAAGAATTTAGAGAGTTAATAAAAGAATATTTTGGAAACAAAAATATGAATGTTGCATTTTAGATCTTGGGTTAATTCTTATAACAATAGAATGAATACAAGGGGGGATTTTTTAAAAACCCAAATTAATGTATTTATTTATTTATTTATTTTATTTATTTAATTTTTTTTTGAGTTGGAGTCTCACTCTGTCGCCCAGACTGGAGTGCAGTGGCCGCTCCCGGCCACCGCAGCCTTGACCCGCTGGGCTCCGGCGATCCTTCTGCCTCAGCCTTCCAAGTAGCTGAAACTACAGGTGTGCACTACCACGCCCAGCTAATTTTTGATTTATTGTAGAGATGAGGTCTCGCCAAGTTGCCCAGGCGGGTCTCGAACCCGCGGGCTCAGGCCATCCACTCACCTCGGCTTCCCAAAGCGTGGGATTACAGGCTGAGCCACTGAGCCCGGCTCGAATTTATTTATTAAAAAATGCATATCTATTCTTTTTTTTTTTTTTTAGAAAAAACTTTATTGAGAGGACAGAAAAGCTCCCACAGTGGGAGGGGACACGAAGGGGCTGTCCCCATATTTGTTCTTACATGTTTAAACTACTTTGAAGTCAACTTCAGAGTTCTCTCGGTTTGATGCAACACGCCTATCGAGAGGCTTTTTCCATTTCTCAAAATAAAATTTGAACTCATCAGTTTTGACGCCTTTTGGTGTTTCTGCTGTTTTTTGTTACAGCTCTTCCACATAGGCAAAATGCCTTCTTTGGAGGACTTTTTTCATCCAGGAAAACAAACAAACAAAAGTCTTTCTGGGTGAGGTCAGGCGAATGGGGAGGGTGAGGCATGGGGGATCATGCCATTTTTGGGTCAAAAACTGCCGAACGCTCCGTGTGGTGTGGGCAGGTGCTTTGTCATGGCGGAAGGACGAGTCACTGGGTTTGCCACAGCTCTGAACATTTCTTCCGCAAATCATGACACAAGTTTCTCAAAACTTCCAGAAAAAAATTTGTTGGTCGTTTGATCCAGAGGAACAATTTCTGAGAAAGCTACAAGGGGCCCACCTCCCAAAAGATAATTCCAGTTTTTTTGAAAGAGAACCTGGCTGGTAAATATGGATTTGTACTCAAGAAAATGCAAATTGATTTTAAATTAGATGTTTTCTGGGATAGTTTGGTAAATCATTACATTGTATTTTTATGGAATTCTAGTTGTTTTACACAAAAGTAACTTTTCTTAAAGTATGTGTCAAGAACAAGATTACAAGCTGTTCATAATGTTAGACTTAGTAGGTCAGATTTTATTGCTTTTGGCTAAAGAGGGCTGCAAAGTTTATAGAGCAAAAGGCTGATACAGTGTGATCTTCAGACTACTTACATATTTAAACTGAGTATCTGGGCAAATATATTTACCCAACTCAAAATTTTCAAAAGAAAATAACCAGAGCCATGTGTTACAGTGTTTATAAAACGTGTTTACAGTAGCATCAGTCAATCCATTTGAAAAAAAAAAAGTGGACTGAAGTAAGTGTTCAACCTTCCCCCACATTGGTGCCGACTCTTCTAATTTTTGAAGGAAGCACTGCAAAAAGAGAGACTCTCAAGTTCCACATGTGCCCGACAGGGTGAGTTAGAAGCACTCTGGAGAACAGGCAGAAGGGCAGCCACCACTGCAGAGGCAGAAAGAAGTCCAGTGGGTTGCCGGACTCTGTTAGCTCATTTGTGTCTCCTCTTACTCTTCTTTTTCTGCTGCACTGGTCATCTTCCCTCTGATTTCCCTCTGGGAGCCTTTATAAGCAAAATAAACAGTTGGGTTTTTTTGAGTCAGGGTCTGTCACCGAGGCAGGAGTACAGTGGCATGCTCACTGCAGCCTTGACCTCCTGGGCTCGTGCCTCCTGAGAGGCTAGGACTACAGGCTTGCGCCACTCTACTTGGCTAATTTTTTTAAATTTCTTGTAGAGATGAAGTCTCGCTACATTGTCTGGACTGGTCTTGAACTCCTGGGCTCAAGCAATCTTCCCTCCTCAGCCTCCCAAAGTAGTAGAATTATAGGCGTGAGCCGCCATGCCTGGCTGGAAACAACTTTTTAAAACAGGAGGAAAGACCTTCTTTTGGCAAGTGAACCCACTTTAAAGAGAGTGACGAGGGAACCCTTTCGCTGCGAGCTGCACTGCACTGGTGTTGCCTCGTCCTCTCAGCCAGCTGCCATCATTCCCTTTGTTTAGACCCACTCTATCTTTTCTTAATAACATATGGTGGATGCTTCCTGTGTGCTTAGCTGTCATTTCCTTTAATTCGCAAAACAACTCTAAAAGAGGTATTATTATATATCCCTATTTTGCAAATGAAGAGTCAGAGACATAAGCTGAGTAATTTCTATGGTTTTGCACAGCTGGCTGAGTACAGCTAAGATTCAGATCCAGCCTCCAGAATTCAAGACCTCAACCACTCCGTTCTCCTACCTCTGCCACGTCTACACTGACAGGCCAGCCAGGAAAGCCCTCGCTTAAGACACCAAGGGAAAAGGAGGCTCCCGGTCTATTACGGTGCTAGCGCTAAGGAAAGAAGCATGTCCTGAGCTTTCGCGTGTGAGCACAGTGACGCATCACATTCCTTGTGGGTGCTGGAGACGTAACTTAGAGAAGCCCCACACGGCAAGCCCGGTCCTGTGTTTAAGTCCTGACTGCTCAGCGTGATGGCCTTTGGAGACGGGCCTTTGGAAGAGAATTAGGGTTTGATGGGGACATGGGGGTGGGGCCCTCATGGTGAGATGAGCGCCCTTTTCATTAGAGGAAGAACTCGCTGCTGCCTCAGGCCACCGAGAAAAGGTAGTTTTCTGCAAGCCAAGTAGAAGGCCTTCCCCAGGAACGGAGTCATCTGACACCTTGATCTTGGACTTCACAGCCTCCAAAACCTTGTCTCGTGTCTGTCATTGTTTAGGCCACCCAGGCTGTGGCTACAACTTAAGGCTGTTCTAGCAGCCCAAGAAGACTAATACAGATTTCGGTACTGAGGAGTGAGGTGCTGTCGTAACAAATGCCTAAAACTGTGAAAGTGGCTTTGGAACTCAGTAATGGGCAGAGGCTTGAGGTGCTTGCTGGAAACATGGACGCTGAGGGCAGCTCTGCTGAGCGTGCCAAAGGAGGTGCAGGGCATGAGACTGGAAACTGGAGGAAGTGGTCTTTGCTGTGAGGGGAAAGGTCTTGGGCGAGCCGTGTTCCAGTGTTTTGTGGAAGGGAGACCTTGTGAGCCCTGGAATTGGAGACTCGGCCGAGGAGATCTCGAAGCCAAGTGTGGAAGGGGTGACTTGTCTTCAGCAAAAGGCGAAGGGAGCAGGATGAGGCAGAAGGATCACCGGAGCCCAGCGGGTTGAGGCTGCAGTGGCCGGGAGCAGCCGCTGCACTCCGGTCTGGGCGACCGAGTGAGACTCCGACTCAAGAGAAAAGACCTAAAGGAAGTTGCCTTGGCCAGCTGCGGGCTTGCTTAGGCCTTATTACCCTTATTTCCTGTTTCTCCCTTGAGGAGTGGAAATGGCTCGCCTGTGTCTGTCCCACCAGTGTATTTTGGAAGCAGATCAATTGTTCTGTTCACAGGTTTACAGCTGGAGAGGAGTCTTGCCTCAGGATGAAAATCCCTCAAGTCTCACCCGTGTCAGACTTGGATGACATTCGGATGAGACTTTGGACTTAACGGTTCATGCTAGAGTTGGTTAAAGTTTGGGGGCTGTTGGGATGGAATGAGTGTGTTTTGCGTGTGAGAAGAACATGCATTTGGGGGACCGGGGTAAAGTGCTGCGGCCTGAGCTGTGTCCCCCAGAAGTATATATTTTGACGCCCACGACCAGCCTCCACCTCAACAGCCCCTAATTAGCTCCCCCAGGCCCCGTCTCCAAGTGCCATCACGCTGGAAGTCAGGGCTTCCACGTAGGAATGTTGAGGGGCGACAGTTCAGTCCCGAGCAAGTGCTGTTTTCACGTCTCAGATTGCGTGGTTTGACCTCACCTGCTGCTTCTCACCGTCCAAACCCTCCTAGCTCTTCCCAAACCAGAGCTCGGGTAGGTGAGCGGACACGGCAGGCCCAGCGTTGGTCCCTCCTGTGTCAGTAAGATGTCAGCGCTGCCAGGTTCCACCCTGCTCTTCCTCTTGCGTCCGCCAACGTTGCTCAGCACTAGTGTCTCATCCTCTGCAGCCTTCTTTTCACCTTATCTAATCCCAGAGCATTTTACCTCTGAAATAAAAGGAGCTTCTCTGCAGCACAGCCTTGGACATGACTGAGGCATGTTCAGTTCTCGGCTCCGCACATCCTTTCTGCCCCACACAAGCCTGACTCAGGATCAGAACGTGGAGCAAGCAGGTAGCGTGACTGCAAGTGGACAGCCAGTGTGGAAGTATAAGCAGTCACCAGTGTTAGTAACTCTTCTTAAGCCCAAGCTGTTGCTGCTTTTTTTTTTTTTTTTGAGTCAGAATCTCTGTCGCCCAGGCTGGCGTGCAATGGCACACTCACAGCCACCGCAACCTTGACCTGCTGGGCTCAGGCAATCCTTCCGCCTCAGCCTTCCAAGTAGCTGGAACCACAGGTGCGTGCTACCATGCCTGGCTAATTTTTTGGATTTATTGTAGAGATGAGGTCTCTCAAAGTTGCCCAGGCTGGTCTCAAACCCGCGAGCTTAGGCAGTCCACTCACCTTGGCCTCCCAAAGTGCTAGGATTACAGGCTGAGCCACCAAGCCCAGTCCTGAGATCACTTTTAATATGAATATCAGAATTGCCTATAAAAGCATAGGTATTGCTTTATGTGATTTTGGATTTGTATTTTGCTGAATGCTTTATAACTCATATTACAAACATTTTAATGAATGGACATTTTTATTTTTGAGTTGGGGGTCTTGTTTTTGCCTCATCTAGAGTACAGTGGCATGATCACAGCTCACCGCAGTGTCGATCTCCTGGGCTCAGGTGATCCTTCCACCTCAGTCTCCCAAGTAGCTGGGACTAGAAGCACGCACCACCACGCCCAACTAATTTCTTGATTTTATTTTTTGATTTGAAATTTACCTTCACTTGGAAAACCATTTTTTGTAGGAAACACTGTAAATGTTTCACACAGGGGAAATTTTTAAATGGAGAGAAAATGTTTTCAAGACATACTCCAGTGGAAGACTCGCCGGAGCCCAGCAGGCTGACGCTGGGGTTGCTGTGCGCGTGCTGCTGCTCTCCAGCCTGGGCAACGGAGTGAGACTCCGACTCAGGGAAAAAAAGTGATCTCAGAACCCTCAGAACACAGAAAATGCTTCTCACTTTTAAGTATCCTCTGATTTACTTCATCTAGTCTTAAAATGGTGAGATTTTTGTTATAAATGTTTAATGATTAATAAAAATGAGTTATAAAATCATAATTTAATAAAATCCATTAACTAATGTATCTTTTAATTGTGTCAAAAATGTCATATTTGGTTTCTTCTTAGGATTTCTGCATAATGATTTATTTGGAGAATAATTGAAAATACGAAATTAATTTTTAAATCTCTATTTACAAAATGTCTCTTTCAGGAAGCGAAGTGAGAAAAATTGAAGCTATAAACGTTCCTTGTACACAGCTTTCAATGTCATTTTTCAGTCGGCTATATGATGAAGATATTGTACGAGACAATGGACACACTGTTAAGTGTTTAGATGCCTTTTGTGATCCATTTCTCATTTCTGATGAGTTACGAAAAGTAAGTACAGAGTGTTAAGATTTCACGGCGGAATTTTATTTCAGGAAATGCAAAACATAAAAACTTGCCTACCTCAAGTCCATAAAATACCTCTTATTGATAAATTATTAGCAATGATCATTACATAGGTAGATGTCTTCTTAGATGGCACGTTTCCTGTCAACTGAAATATCTGTGCATTTCAATAGTTCTCCCCGGGTGCTGCTGACATCTGACTGACGGGCAGAGCTGCTACTAGACATCACACAACTCACAGCACGGTCACTCACGACAGTTATGCTACCCACAGTTTCCATAGTGCAGAGGTAGGGAAGTACATTTCATTGCTGATACGGGCTCTTAACTTCTCAAATGAATATTCAGAGCGTCTTGGAGCAAAACAGTCTTTTTATTTCATTGCTGAGATCAGCAAAGCCACTTGATTAGCTAAGTTACATTTTCCTTTAGTGAAATCTACACTGAACTTGGAATCAGAATCAATGGATTACTTACCTGACTTCTGATTTGTTATTTACACGGTAATAACCTTAAGCCTAAGGTTACCATTCCGTTTCCTGAGCCTTGGGGTCATACCTGTGCAACATGAAGGTGCAGATGCCCGTTCTACCTTCTTCCTAAAATCACTGACAGAATGAGTTGAGGAAGCATTTAAATGCACCTTTCAGAAAGTATGAAAGGCTGTTGAAATGTATCAATAATTATCATTCTTATAATTACTAAGAGTATTAAAAGTGGTTTAAAGTGAGGGCTTCGGTGTCAAATAGACATAAATTCAAATCCAGGCTCTGTCACTTAATAACTGTGATATTTACCTTCTGGAAGCCTGCTTCTTCATCTATTAAACAAGCGTCATATGAGAGTTATGTAGGACAGTGCTTTTTTAAAGGGCTTGGCAAAGTGCCTCGCACTTAGCTTCCCATGGTATTAGCAGCTACTACTGACTCCTGCAGGCATTGCTACTCTCCAGTAAGGGAGAAGTGACGTTTGCCGTCTAATGAATTGCACATCCCAGCAGGAATGAACGAGGGAAGCTGCCCCTTGCCCTTCTGGACCTGGAGTCTTGTCCGTAGGAAGAAGGGCGGCACACAGCCAGGCTGTTCGTTGTTCTCCACTAGGGCTCTGCCTGAAAGAACTCGTTCGCTTAGTTAAGGAAGAAAATAAAAGTAACTTTCTGAGCATAGCCAAGCATACCGTTGAGTGAGACGATGTATAGTGTGCTCCTCAGGTAAATGAAGCAGGTTACCTCTAACACGAGGTGTATAATATACACTACTATACATATTTAACACATACTTCACAGTGGGGATCTGATGCTGATTCCTGTTCCTTTCCAAGGACCGGAAATTGCCATTCAGGAAATGTTTGGTCTGGTTTTTCTTCCCTTTGGGTACTGCTAATGTCAGCTCTTCTCTTGCTCTCTTTCATGCTCTGGCATCAGGGTCTGAAGACCCTCACCTCTAATTTTAGAGATTTCACCGTCGAGAAAGAGCCTCGTCAGTGAACTTTCTAAAAAGGGGGATTTGTCTTCCAACAGGATACTCTGCAAAACTGCCAGCTGCCTGTTGCATTTCTTGTTGTGAATGGCACCTCTGTTCATGAAGTGCTGGGGTGCAGTGTTTTTCTCCTGGTTGCCTGTGTGTTTGCTCTTGTGTTCCCTGCCACTCTGGGCAACAGCGAGGGAGGGTCTTTCACTTGCTTGCTGTCTGGATGGCTTCAGCCTGAACTAAAAAGGGTTTCCTGCTGTGCAGCGCCGTGGCTTCTGCCAGCACCCTGCAAAATGTAAAAACTGAGGAAATGCGTTGGAAGCGCTGGTCATAACCTCCTTCCCGACCGCGGCTCGGAAGCTTGACGTTAACCCCTGCACACCTGCTGTCTGAGGGCTGCATAGCCCAGGGGAGCTGTCTGTATGGGAGTAGAGGGGAGAATGGCCACAGAGTACCGGGTTCTAACCTTCATTCCAACAGTTATTGTGTGAATAATAGTTAACAGTTATGTTATTGTGTTATTTTAAATTGCACAGCCTAACCAGTTTAATATACGAGAGTGTTCATGTGAGGGATGTGGTAAGCATTCAATCCTCATTATTTTATCCATCTTTGTGTTAAGCCAAATCACGAGGTAGCTGCAAACGTGGGCATTAATTACATCATTTCCTTACAGAGAGGCAGGGAGGGAGGGAGGGACTCCAGAGCGATTGACTGCGGCCACCTCCCCTTTCCTGGCTTTTCCTGAACACACAGAACCTTGGTTTTTGTCAAGGCATTAGAACTAGGCCATATGGAGAGCCCTGTAGAGGCTTTCCTTTTTCAATACCTCTGATGCAGTGAGTTTTGTGATAAGCTTTGCTCAGAGACTGTGAATAAGCTTAATTTTCCTAAGTAAGTATATTTGTTTTTCTGTTGAGTTGTTTGAGTTCCTTGTATATTCTGGGTATTAGTCTCCTGTAGGATGAGAAATTTACAGATATTTTCTCCCTCTCAACAGGTTGTGTCTTCATTCTGTTGTTTCCTTTGCTGTGCAGAAGCCTTTTAGTTTGATATGGTCCCATTTGTCTATTTTTGTTTGTGTTTCCTGTGCTTTGAGGTCTTAGCCATAAAATCTTTGCCTAAACCAATGTCCTGTAGTGCTTCCTTTGTTTTCTTTTAGCAGTTTTATAGTTGTTAACATTTAGTTTCTTATCATGAGTTGATTTTTATATATGGTGAAAGATAGGGGTCTAGTTCCATTCTTCTGCATATGGACATCCAATTTTCCCAGCACTATTTATTGAAGAATATCCTTTCTCCAATGTATGTGTTTGGTGTCTGTCAAAAATAAGTTGGCTATGGCTGGATGCGATGCTCACACCTATAATCCCACAAGGCCAAGGTGGGGGCATCACTTGAGGTCAGGAGTTCAAGACCAGTCAGGGCACCATAGCAAGACCTACAAAAATAAAAATTAAAAATAGCCAGGCATGACAGCACATACCTGTAGTCCCAGCTACTTGGGAGGCTGAGTGGAAGGAACGCCTGATCTTGAACAATTATCATAATATTATAAGAAAGGAACTGGCAAGTGGGAAACTGCCAGGGGAGGGAGGAACACACCTCATCAAGGAGAGTACCTGCATAATGAACATTTGTACCCCACATCTTGAAAATAAAAAAAATAAAGGAAGGAATGTCTGAGTCCAGGTGGTCAAGGCAGCAGCGAGCCGTGAGTGTGCCATTGCACTCCAGCCTGGGCAAGAGAGTGAGAATTCGACTCCACAAAAAAAGGTTGCCTTTAAATACATAGGTTTTATTGCCAAGTTCTCTATTATTATTAATCTAGTCCATTAGTCTACATGTCTATTTTTATGCCAGTTTCATGCTGTTATGGTTACTATAACCTTGTATTGTATTTTGAAATCAGGTAGTGTGGCAGCTCCAGCTTCTTTTTGCTCAGGACTGCTTTGGCATTCAGGATCTTTCTTGGTTCCATACAGATTTTAAGATTGTTTTTCTATTTCTGTGAAAAGTGACATGGGTATTTTGGCAGGAATTTCACTGAGTCTGTAGATTGCTTCGATGGTGTGGTCATTTTAATGGTCTTAATTTTTCCAGTCCAGGAGCACGGAACATCTTTCTGTTGGCCCGAGTCCTCTGCAGGCCCCTTCCTCCTCGTTGCAGTGTTTCATCTCCTTGGTTAGCTTGATTCATCCCCGGGGTTTCGTTTCGTCCTTGTAGATATTCTAAAGGAGAGTGCCTTCTTGGTGTCTTTCTCAGCTAGCTCACCATTTGTGTATAGAGATGCTACTGGTTATTATATGTTGGTTTTGTGTCCTGCACCTTTACTGAATTTGTTTATCAGATCTGTTGTATCAGATCAGAATTTTTGTTTTTTAAATATAAGGTCCTGTCATCTTCAAACAGAGACAATTAGACTTCCTCTTTTTCCATTTGGATGCCTTTTGTCTCTCTTGTTTCCTGGTTAGTCTAGCTAGCAGTTTATACATTTTGTTGTCTTCTTCAAAAAAAAAGTTTTGGTTTGTTGATTCTTTGTGTTGATCTTTTAGTCTCTATTTCGTTTAGTTCCACTCTGATCTTTATTTATTTATTTATTTATTATTATTTTTTTTAGTTGGAGTGTCACTCTGTCGCCCAGGCTGGAGTGCAATGGCATGCTTATGGCTACCACAGCCTCTATCTGCTGGGTTAGGAATTTTAATATTATGTCAAATAGGAGTGGTGAAAATGAGCATCCATGACTTGTTTCAGCTTTTAGAGGAAAGGCTTTCAGCTTTTCCCCATTTAATATGATGTTAGCTGTGGGTTTGTCATATATGGGCTTTATTGTGTTGAGGTGTCCTTTCTATGCCCAGTTTGTTGAGAGTTTTTATCGTGAAGTGATGTCGAATTTTCTCTAATACTTTTTCTTTATCTGTTGAGATGATCATATGGTCTTTGCTCTTCATTTTCTTTATGTAATGTATCACATTTATTGATTTGCATATGTTGAACCATCCTTGTATCCCTTGATCATGTTGCATTGTCTTTTTGATATGCTGTTGGATTTGATTTGCTAGTATTTTGTTAAGGATTTTTACATCTATGCTCATCAGGGATATTGGCCTATAGTTTTCTTTTCTGTTGTTGTAGTGTCTTTGTCTGCTTTTGGTAGCAAGGTAATGCTGCCCTCATAGAATAAGTTAGAGAGAATTCCCTCCTCTTCAAATTTTTGGAATAGTTTGAGGAAATTTGGTTGAGTCTTTTTTATAAGCTTGGTAGTATTTGGCTGTGAAGCCATCCAGTCCTTGGCATTTCTTCATTAGAGATTTGTTTTCTTATGGATTCAAGGTGGTTGCTCATTATTGGTCTATTCTGGTTCTTTAGTTCTTCCTGATTCATTCTTTGTATGTTGTTTGTGTCCAAGAATTTATTCATTTCCTCTAGGTTTTCTGGTTGGTTAGCATATAGCTATTCATCATTCTCTCTGATGATTGCTTGTGTTTCTGTAGTGTCCATTGTGATGTCTTC